ATCGATTCTATAATTTTTATTCTATTTTTTTAAAATGATTTTATTATGACCGAGGACAACTAATTAAAGTCAAAACGTTTCATTATATCATTATTGATTATTTTAATGGATTTAATATTTGTTACAAACTTTATTTTTTCGCTTGTTTATTTTGATCTTAGTTTTATTTTATTTTACTCTCTTAAATTTACACATTTATCTTATTTTGTTATTTTATTTTGCTTTAGTCAAAAAGTTAAAAGAAATGATAGAGTTATTAATCCATGCTCATTTTTAATTTTTACTTCTCTGTTTTTTTTTCAAAATTATTTAAATTCTGTAAGAAAAGAATATTATAGCATCTTTAATCAGCTATATAAGTTGATTGATTATAGTGATTATATACAATACTTTTCTTTCTAAACACAGAATATTGTAACAAGATGACATTCTATATGCAATCACTGTACGATAAAATCCACATATACTGTGTCTTGTGAATTATCAAATCTAATAAAATGATTTATTACCCTGAAGTTAATCGAAAAAATAAGTTTTAGATAAAACATTTTTGTTGACAAAACATTTACATTTTTTGAAAAAATAAATTATATATGTAAAATGAATAAATTAATTTTATAATGCAAAATAGAGAATAACTTTCTTCTAATAAAGTTAAAATATATTTAAAAAACAAGTGGAATATTTTTTGTACAAAACAAAATAAAAATTCTATCATTATCTCATGTGATTTTATGATCAAAATGAAGCAACATTGGTCTAAAAGTTAAATATTAACTTATTTTGAAATAATTAAGTCATACGTTATTAACTTTTTAACTTGATTACTTAATTCTATCTTTTTAACTAATTACCATCTTGTATTAACAATTCTGTTAATAACATATTTCATAGATAGAAAAATTGGCGCTGGACACTTAAATAAATAATGTTCCTTGTTGATAGTAATTGGCATTATCATCACTGCCGGGTTTAATGCTGCTTTTATCGTGTTAAGTTATTATATATATCAGAACATCAAAGATGACTATTCCTTCGAGAAAAATTTGAAAGCAGATCATTGAAATAAAATGTTATTTCCTGCATAAATATTCCGTTATTTATGTTTCCTATTCAGAATAAAATTCGTAATTAAAATTATGTTTAAACATTTTCAATTTTTTATAGGTAAATAATCAATATATATAAGTAGATATACAAATTAAGCATTTAAATTTCATATTAAATTATGATGATTTCTTTATTCTTTACATAACAAACTAAAAAACAAAATTGATTATACAATAAAGATCATTATTAACTCAATTGTGAAAATGAATACAGTGTCTCATACATCTATTGAGTATAGATATGGTTATGACGCGCAAACTTTCAATACTAATATTCAATTTTATTTACTTGTATAAAAACTATTTTAAAAACTTTGATATTTCTGTGTATTATCAGTTCTTAAATTAAAATCTTCAGAATGCATTTTGAAAATAATTAACTTAATATTTTAATTGCTAATTTAATATTTTAATTTAGCAAGATAATCATATTTACATATTTCTGTTAAGATAATTTTATTATACAAATGTTAAAAATGCGTATATCTGAAATGTAACTATCTAAACTTATACGAAGATTAATATATTCAGTACAAGTTTTGTGTAAGTCAGTGATAAATTTTCGATCGATCGTGTTTCATTATAATGTAATATATTTAGATAATTTATTACATTATAATGTAATATATTTAGATTAATAATATAATTTTATTTAAAAATATTAAGAAGAATCTGTCACGCGAACCTTCAAGAACAAATGGTACGCGTATTATTGTGTTCTAGTCTGTACCACATCGAACATCTATCGTTGTCATCTTTATAAGACCATCGTGACTATTATCTATAATCATCATTATTGTGGATAACTACACAAATAAAAAGCAAAGATTATACTCGAAAACAAGCTGTGTTACTCTTGCACAGGTGTACTTTAACTCGATAATGTCGGCAAATAAGGAAAAAAAACTGATTTTAATCAAAAAACAAATCTAATATCTTGATAAAGAAAGATACAATATTAAGTTTCAGTAAAAATTTAATAAAAAAGTTTATTTTTAAAAAATGAAATATATAAATAATTTCGTAACAGTTAGATTAATTTTCCGTATATTCGAAACCACAAAAAACTAAATTAAAGTATCATCAATGGTTACAGTCTATTAATCTTAAGTTAAATTCTTTATATTAATATAATTCGTAAATAATAACATATTCGTTAGACATTCAATAATAATGTAACGTTACAATTTGCAATTAAAACGATTTGACTTTTACCTTTACAAATAACACAAATTTATCAGCCAATTATCTAATGATAAACCTTGCCGACAATTCTCTGTCATATCATGAATGCAAGGTTTTATCAGTTAACTGATCTCAAGCCTTCTCCCTTCTCCCATCTCTCCCTACGTCGCACGAGTCTCTTCGAATAAACAAAATGTCCTTGACCAGCTTGGGATAGCCATGTTACAAATCGCGCATTTACATAAAACAATTCATTATTGGGCTTGATGCGCGCTGGGGAGGTAGTTTATAAAAACACAAATTATGATTCACAAATTTTCACAAATTGTGTAAAGAGCGTGTCGTAATTGTCGCCAATTAATGCAAAAAATGATCGCCGATTAAAATTTAGTACTAAACAGATGTATAAAATTACTATTTATCATCAGGACATCAAGTCCGCTTTTCAATTAATTCTAATTTTATTGCTAACATATTATCGATTGCAAATATGTACATCATCGAACATACATTTTTTTAAGCGATGAAGTACGACATATTGGGGAATAAATTCTACAATCACATTTGATAATACAATGTGTTTATAGATATGATATATTGATTACATACTTTAATATTTTATAATATTTTTTATACTCTAATATTTTTAAAAAACTTAAGGAAACATTCTTTATCTTCTAATTTTTTTAAATATATTTTGAATTATGTTAACATATTATTATTTGTAGAAATATATTAATAAAGGTTTGCGCCTTTTTTGCATCGGATATCTTATTGCAAAGAATAAAAGTGTCTAAGAAATATTTTACGTAATACACATCCGTCGATCACGGCGACGACGTCTCCACGCTTCCACGTTTGTTACGCGACGAATGTTTCTATGTACATGTACAATGTTAACCCGATAGCCTACGAATTGCTGTGCGGCGAATCGCGCCGTGTAGGAGTATAATGGGGTTCATCTCTTGTCTAGTCAGGGTTATAAATAAATAAATTTGTCATTTAGTCATTTCACTCTTATCGCTGTGAATACGTAAGATATCCTTCTTTTGTTCATCGAGAGCCCGAGCGAGCGGACGGAATTAATGATAATTTCCATACGTCAAAAGACGAGAACGATAATTAAACGTATGATTAATGTGTTACCATTGATTACTATTATCATTACTTGTCATTATTATTATCAATTACCAATTATTATGATTGCGACTATTATTATCTATTATTAGTTACTCACTACAGCTATATAATACCTTTGTAAATGAGAATCAAGACACACTGAGGGCTAGGGAAAAAAGAGAAACTTAATAAATTGAAATTCTATTAACCCAAAGGTGTTTGACTGTTATTTACGTCTATTTATTTGATTCCCAACAGCGATGAAAAAACATCAAAAGGTGAGGAAATAAAAAACAAAAAATAAATGCACGTTACGTAACTGCAATCAGAATTACTGTGTTATATAAAATCCCATACTATAAAACATGTCTTATATCTCCAATGAAATAGATGTTCATTGCCGAACATATGATAAACATAATTCAATTATGACAGAAAATAATTTTATCTTATACAAAATAATCTTGACAAATAGAAAAAAGAAAATTTAAAGGGGTCAAAGGTTTACCTAAACTATTATTTCTGACAATATGACTTACCGTGGCTACAGCAAAAACAAATATTTAAAATGTAGCGATACATGACATTGTGTGAGAGAGAGAGAGAGATTAAAAAAATTTATTTTTATCATTTCTATTTCTAAACGAGATTTCTCAATATATTATCTTATTCACTTTGTCGTTTTTTATTGATTTCCGTAGATCACGTTCCTGTTTACATATACTGTATCTTTCCCTGTTTACATATACTATGTCTTAAAATAGTTCAGCATAAAACGATGGATATATTACGATATCTGTTTATATAAAAATCTTTAAATTCAAAGTTTTAAATTCTTTAAATTCTACATAATGTCATAATTAAGTTTCAAGAAGAATAAAAATCGATAATAAATACCATTGAAATTTTAATTTGAACGATTGCTTACTTTGATATTAAATTTATGTTAATTAAATTGCACAATATAGCACATGTATAATCCTGATGTACTTTCCTTCGCGTGCAATTCTAAATCTTAAGTTTAATAGGTAAAATAAAATTTCTAGATGTTTCCGTACAGTTTTTTGTGTTTTCAATATACATTTTTTATTTAGATTGTATAACCAAATATCTTTAAGAACTATTCGGTACAATAAATGGTACATATTTTTATTTCTTATTTTTCGAGAATTGCAATGGTATTTTATTTCACAAATTTTGAAACACTGTGTGTGCGTGCGTGTGTGTGTGTGTGTGTGTGTGTGTGTGTGTGTGTGTGTGTGTGTGTGTGTGTGTGTACCCAGTGTTCCAAAATTTGTATATATATATATATACAGATAATGTTGTTGGTATAATAATAATAACGAGTAAATCTTATATCTTTCTTACAATACATTTTCATTTACTACACAATGCGACACGCACGCACACACACATTACTTTACATCTTCTACAGCATCCACTTGGAGCATGCGCAAGCTTGTCTAGGCTAGCGAGATGATTGTTACTGACGTCCGGAATATATCTATTACGCGCACAAGTCACAGGCGTACATAACACAAAACTTCATTACGAATAAGTGTTCGTCTTCAACGATGTTATCGAAAACTAAATACTAACTCTTATTCTTTCCGTTTGCAAACAGTACAATATTCCGATTAGATAGTGAAACAGACCAACACAGTAACTCTTAAAAGTAGCCTCTAGGAAGTTAAAAGTTACAAGAAGTCTCATATTACTGAGAAAATAGGATCCATTTGGACATCAAAAGACCTTTTAAGAAAATATAGTGTTTCAAAATTGAGCGACAAATCTTACAAAACAATCATGCCTAAAACAAAAGATATTACCAAGCTGTCCACTGAAGAATTGCAGAAGTTTCTAACATCCTTCGACACAGTGTTGTGCGACATCGACGGTAAGCAATAAAATTCTATAATTTTTAACGTTTGTGTTTTATGTGTGCCAATTATAGAAACATTGTAGAATATGTTATTTATAGCTATCAATTTTCAGAAAAAGTAAAATTAAAAACAAATTTTAATAATAAGGCTATAAGTCAACGCAACATGTAAATTGCTAACATTAAACTTTAATAATTTAAATTTCAACAACAAACGTTTTAACCTATATTAGGTCATTTTCAGTGTAGTTATACAGTATACAGTTAAAATAGAATTCAAGACAAAAATACAAATAAAGTTACATTATGCTAATACAAACATATATACAAAACAATTGTTTTAAACTTTCTACCATGATCGAATACTTCGCTCGCAATTCCTCCATTATTCATCCTCGGGTGATAATAAAGTTGTAATGACTCAGCTTCAATGTCACAATTTTGATGGCCAACAGAATTTTATCATTGTTGTCAGTAAAATATTATATTAAAATTATTTGTCAACTGTATATAAATTTTAAAATTAATGTGATAGTTAAGATAAAATGAGTAAATAAAAATGTATATTATTGCGAACGAATTGCGAGCAAAGTATTTGATTATGTTAAAAAGTTTAAAACAGTTGTTTTGTATGTATGTTTATATTACCGATAATGCAACTTTATTTGTATTTTTATTTTGAATTCTATTTTAACTGTGTACCACACACTGAAGATGACCTAATCATTTTGGTATGTTGTTTAGATTATTAAAGTTCACATCTTGCATTGACTCATAGCCTTTATTATTCAAATCTATTTTTAAACTATTGAGTCTAAATATACAGACTTTGTTAAAATAAAAAAATTAACTATGGAAGAACTTTAAAGGATTATGGTTACTGATTGATACCCTGTGCAAATTTTAATATAGATATATATCATACGTTACAAGATGTCCCAAAATCCGCAAATGAAAACGCCACTGCATAAAAATTCTTTGAAAAAATAAGTTGTAAAAATATTTTCGTTCTGAGCAGTAGTTTCTGAGACAACGAAGGTTTTAAAACTGGTCTATTATAAATTATGATTAAACCGTCATTTCTTTAAATGAGACACGTACGCATCAAATCTACTGCTCGGAATGAAAATTAGCAAATACTATATAACTTATTTTTTTCAGAGCAAGAAACAGCAAATATTTCTTTCATAAAACTTTATTTTCAATTTTATTTTTTCAAAACTCTTTATTGATTTTGATTTTTAACTTTCAAGATACCTTCTGCGCATGTGCATATATCATAGATACACACACACACACACACATATGTGTTTATAATACAATATAATGATTTTACAAATTAAATTTTTTAGTAATTGGTTTATATTATTGTTATTCGTATTACATGTTTTGTGTCTACGATTACATTTTTTCGGATTAAATACGAGAGCAAGTCAATAAGTTCTTAGAAAATTTATCAGAGGGCACTCGCAATGTCATGTCACATTACTTTTTGACAAGTAGCATCTTTCAGCCGATTACTGTCAAATTTTGAGCGGAATTCATCGAGAGGTTTCATTTCTGCGGACGATTAAAGCGAACAACCTTTGTATTTTTTGCAAAATGGAAAAAAACGAGTTTCGTGCAGTGATCAAACATCTATAAAAGGTTTAACTCCGAAAGAAATCAAATCCGAGTTGGATAATGTTTTATAGCACATCTGCATCAGCGTTTGCAACTGTATACAATTGGTTGAATGAATTTAAACGTGGTCATACATTCACATGCGATGCACCTCGTTCCGGACGTCCAATTGAGACTGCTACGCCAGAAATCATCGTTAAAGTCCTCGATATTGTTTTGACTGATCGACGAGTGAAAATGCGCGAGCTTGTTGAGACCACAGGCATATCATATGGCAAAGTGATTTCGATTTCGCACGAACAATTGGGTATGAAAAAGCTATCAGCAAGATGGGTGCCGCGTTTGCTCACTGTGGACTATAAAAGCGACTGTGTAACGATTTCAAAACAATGTTTGGAGATGTTTCAATGTAATCCAGATGAATTTCTGGTTCGATTCATTACTGTGGACGAAACATGGATCCGTTACTTCACACCCGAGACGAAGGAACCAGTCAAAACAATGGACTTCACCTGATTTTGGTGAAGAAGAAAGTACTTTTTCATCAAGACAATGCACGGTGCTCGATGGCCAAATTCAACGAATTGCTTCCCCATCCAGCATATTCGCCAGATTTAGCCCCCTGCGATTATTTCCAGTTTTCAAATCTGAAGAAATAGTTCGGAGAGATTCACCACCGGAGAGTACATCGCCGAAACAGAAGCTTATTTTGAAGGGTTGGACAAATCATACTATTCGGACTGCTTGAAAAAGTTGGAGAATCGTTGGATCAAGTGTATCGAGCTGAAAGGAGACTATGTTGAGAAATAAAAATGAATCGATAAAAAAAATGTATTTTACTATGTTTTTTTAAAAACTTATTGACTTGCTCTCGTATCTTAAATTATATAAATAATAAATAAAAGATTTTGCGAAATGTGTAATGTTCTCCAGGTGTCCTATGGGAACTGAATGAACCAATTAAAGGTGCTTCGGAATCTTTAATGACATTGCAAAAGCTGGGAAAACAAGTGTATCTGGTAACTAATAATAGCACCAAGACGTTAGAAAATTTTTACAAAAGCCCTCAATATATCAATTTAAATTTAAGTTCAGTAAGTGTTTTAGTTTGGTTAAAAATATTTGATTACTTTAATAATAAAATTTTTAAGAAAATATAAATTATAATTCTAAATCATTTTATTATATCATCTTAAATTCTTTTTTACAAAGAATAGAGTATGATGAAGAAACATTAAAATAAATTGACTTTATATTTTATAATTATTGTTTTAAATTGTTATATGTATATTTATATTGACGTTTTGTATATATTATTGAGACTGAAGAGGACTACAGTAAGAGTCGAAACGTTTCGTTTTAAATTTTAAATTTTAAATTGTGAAATTATTATAATAAAGTTTGTCAACGGTTTTACATCGTCTGCTTGTTTATAATACCGAAATTTAATATCTTAATTTGTCGTTTTAAAATAAATTATTTGAAAAATTTATAAATAGCAAAATTATAATTATTAATAATGCTAAAAAAAGTATTAGCGATTACAGATCTTTTTTTTACAATTTAAGATCATCAATGTTTTAAGATGAATGTATAGTCGTGATTTCATTTTCTTCATACTGACAATAAGACTATTCTTATGCAAAATAAGGTATACAAATTTAAACTGAATATTTTTCAATGGATAATAAATGAATAATAAATACTATAAATATATAATGATTTACGTCTTCCATTATATTGTATTACAAAGGATGTTTTACAACTATTCGATTTGATTTTTCTTGTTTGCGGGATGAAATACCTCTTTGAAAAAAAAAAACGGTTTTTCTCTTTCGAACCGAATATTGTCGGAAAAATGAAAGATAAAAAAAATTTTTAAACAAAAATTGTACGGTTTCCAAAATGTTTTAAAGTTGTAAAAAAATTTTTTTTAATTTTTTTGTTTTTAACAAAATACCTCCACTACCCCCCAAAAAATTTTATTTTTTATACTTCCGACGATACTCGGTTTGAAAGAGTAAAACTTTTTTTTTTTTTTCGGAAAAATATTTCACCCGTAAACATGAGTTAGTGTATGCACATATAAAAAAATACATCTTAGATTTTTGTATTGAACAACATATTTCAAGGAAAATCAAATCGGATAATTGTGAAATGTTCCTTGTTAGCAGTAGAAGCTTAGACACACGTATTAAAATGTACAGAACATAATATATCAAAATAATTAAGTAACAAAAGCCTACAAAAAATATACTTATTTATATAATTTATAAAATATTAAAACGAGTATTACTAAAAACAGTTAATAATTAATTGCATTATATAGGACCATGTAGTCAACCCCATAAAATCTATTATTTGGTATTTAAAGAAAATTGATTTCCGCGACGAAGTTTTTGCCATTGTTTCGAATTTATCTCGGGAAATTTTCAAAGAGGCAGGAATACGATTAACCGAGCAAGTGAGTAAATAAACAAGTTATATATCACTTCTCTTTTCTGTGAAATATTTCGATAGAATACGTTTCGTACAAGTAATACTAAACAATAAGAGTTAATCTATCTAACATTTTTTTTTATGAATCCGGCCATTGTGTCAAATTTACTTTCAATAAAAGTTCATATTGAGCATATAGATTAAATTAATGTTTTATTTTGCAGCCAAAAATTTCGGAAATAAATCCATCTGCAACCATAAAGGAGGTCCTAGATCGACCATCCGTTAAAGCTGTAATTGTTGATTTTGATATCAATTGCAACTGGTCAATGCTAGCTTTGGCCATATCGTGCCTCAAACGTCAAGACGTGTTGTATATAACAGGACCAACAGATGATTGGTTGCAAGTACAAGCATTACCTCAAATTAAAATCTTGGGTAAATATCAACATCGTTGTTAAACAATGGTAAAAACATTTTCTGTTCAAATACTAATAATATTATTATTAACATATAAATATAAATTTTTGTGATATTACTATGTACATATACCTGTTAAAAAATGATATCCCTCGTATAAATAGAAAAATAATTATACACACATATTGTATGTAACATTACATACAAATTTTTTCTTATGTAGTACAAAATGTCCATAAATGAATGCGCATAAGAATTTTTAGAATCCTTTTATTTTAATGTAAAACATTTTCTATTGATTTACATACATATTTTTATCAATAATTTGATAAAGTGCAATGTTTAGTTCCGAGAAATGAAGAAATTACTTTAGGAGCTTTTTGTCAGTGCCGACGACTTTTCTATATCATTTATTATAATATATAAAAATATTTGTTAATTAACAGAGAAAAAATATCATGTTTTTTCATTGTCAGGTCCTGGACCATTGGTGAACATTATCAGTGCACACAGTGGAAGAAAGCCGATTTCATGTGCTAAACCTAGTAAAACCTTAAAAGATTACATTTTAGATAAATACAACGTGACGAATCTGAAAAGATGTTTATTTATTGGTGACACGTAAGTAAAATTGTGGTAAAATATACTTCTGTTTTTACCTCAAAATATATTTATAAGCACATAAAATATTAGAATCAAACACTAAAATCGAAGTATTACCAGTAGGGACATTTCACGAAAAAATTCGTAGGGGAGCGAGGGGCATGTTGTAACAATTTTCAAAATATTGTATATATTATGAAACCTATCAAGTATTTTATAACTATAATTACTTTTATCGAGAAATCAATCATTATACAATAAATCAGAATAGAAAATATTAAAGAATACCTACACATTTTCCCCACAACATGCGTTTTATAAAAAAAAAACGGTTGTTACAATTTGCCTCGTGTTTGGGGCTAATTGTAACAGCAATGAGACATGTAGTAATAATAATAAATTTATGAAGTTTTAACAGGTTTGAGTCTTTATTTTTAAAGATAAGTGCAAAAATAATTATTATTTTCATATATTTCATATTATTTATTTAACTGCAGCCAACTCATAGACATCTTGGCTTTTTGAAGTCCTCACCGTTTTCTTTTTGTAGTTTCTCATACTCAAAAAGACATACGATAATGAAATACATTAAAGCTCACAAAACCACCCATGCAAATATAAACATTAGAGGCATATTGTAACATGTTACAACTATAAACCCCAAGAAATTGTTTCAACTTGTCCCTTAGCATGAATTTCTAGGTTAATTGAGGTTAATATTAATTTATGTCATTAGCAGTAAAAACCAATATAGCATAATAAAGGTAGATATATTTAAGAACGTAATGCCCAAAATAGTCATAACAATTGATAACAATAGGTATCAAAAATGAAAGTTTAAATAATTTTTTTTTTTTCATTACCTGGCTTAATTATAGCACATAACTACTCGCTACGCTACCTGACGGAACATTGGTTGTGCTTACGTAATGCGGACAGTTATAAGGCTAAGATCGTGTTAAATATTCGACGTCGAAGAGTTCAAAATCCCGGTAAAAATTGCGTGTTACTACTTACCCCTGTTACAACTAGCCCCTCGCTCCCCTATGACAGTTAAAATGAAACATCCTGTACATGCATAATAAATGCTTAACCATACCTCTTTATGACTTCCCATTCCTTCTCATTTCTTCTTCTCATTCCTTCTTATGCCTTCTCCAATATACTTGCAACTTTGGATGGCTAGGCATTTATGCTGCGTGTACACACAAACAACTTTACAGGTATCTCTGTAGAGATAAAGAGCGATTTACACGATGCTACTTTTGATACTTAACTATTACATATTTTTTTTTTAAGTTTAGACGCTAGCGAATAAATAATGAGCGTTTAAAAGAAGTTTTTATCAGTGAAGTTTTAGCTGACAAATTAAGAAGCTTGCTCAGAGCGAATAAAAGCAGTACCGTGTGAATCACTTTTAAGAAACTTTCTTCTATTTGACATTCGGCCCTGACATTAAGATAACAAGTAATCACGTGATTTGTATAATAAAATCAAAGGGACCGATACGAAGTGTCCCTACTGGTGTAGTATACTGTGTCAAACTACAGTTATGCTGCGTCTACAAAATTATTTGAATATTTACGGTAAAAGAACATTTTATTGATTCGGAAATATAAACGTAGGGTGAATCAAGATATGAAGTTTGCCTCGATGTGCGGATTTATAAAGCTTTTTGTCGGTACGGGATGTGATACACTGGAGCAGGCACAAAACAAAGACGATACCTGTCCGGACTATTATCTTCCTAGCTTAGGTCAACTATTCTCTGCCGATCCAAAATGTATCGCTAATCACAAAGATAATTAATAGTTCATGCTCAGATGGAGAAGAAATTAGTAATCAATAATAAATATCAAAGCGATAATGCTATAATTATAAATAATTATTATGTATTTGTTAATGTATTAAAAACACGTAGTCATAACTACATCATAAATGTTAAATCGCATTTTTATATTAATTTTACAAACATATATTATAGATATTAGAATATTACATACTATACTAACAAGTTTTACCATTGTACCAAAGTAATAGATAAATTGTGTATAAACTGTTAAATGCTATGTCAAGTACATAGTAGAATCCAAAAATTTCCTATCTAGAAAAAGGATTAATGTGAAAATAATATGGAAATAAATGGAAAAACAATTTTTATATTTCAAATAATTATTCTTTATGAATTAATTTTTCTGCAGTGTGGTCACTTCTTTACCATTAATAAATTTCTTTCTATGTAAATTGGACTTCAACTTTCAAAGTAAAAAGCCACTATAATTTTAAGGGGGGAATTTCATTTTTTGGCAAAAAAAAATTGATAATTGAGAAAATAGCAGCTTGTCAAATAAAAAACATCGATTTCGCTCTAAAAATTGGCTGATTTTTTTACAATAAAAGAAAAGTATATAACAGATTGTTTTTCGTTTTCATGGAACGATAAAGAGATGTTTCTTCAATATGCAATTCAAAGCGGAAGATAATCAGTCTATTAGTTTCGTAGATATCATGCCAACCAGTCGCGAAAAAGTTGTTTCGAGAAAAACGCGTTTAAAGTTTTAAATGTACTTTACAAATGCAAATTGAACACTCATAGTACTTTTTGCTAATCAGCAATGCTTGGGCTATATCCTTCTTCTTGCTCAAAGAATTGATCTTTATTCATTTGTTGCTCTCTCTAATAAGTCCGAGCTTCTTTGGTCGCTCTGTCTCGCCGATTTCTTCAAACGTTTCTTGTCACGCGCAGACGTGAATATTTTTGTTTATTCTCCAATGATGATTTCGATCGTTATCATGATTTTTAAAACATTAAAATATCCTTCATTGAAGATTCCGGCTGCTAAATAAGCTGCGATCCCGATTGTTTCGCGCCACAAAAAAGTGGCGCCACGTAAATAGTAAGAGTAAAGTAAAGACTATGTTATATTGTATATCGAATATTCTCCTCGCATTCGATTGTGATTGGTCAATATTTTATTATTCTTCCCACAGCCATGGCTATTGTAGTCTTCAGACTACAGGTAAAAACTGATCCTTAAGAAATTCTTGATCTTTTGTTCCCTGTTCCCTCGCAAAAACCGGAGCAGTTACCGCACGTGCTAAGTTGTATACCTACGCACCGAATTGGTCTATTGTTTATAACTTCGTCGGTTTTACGAATTTCGATTTGAAATTTGCTGTACATATTTTTAACATTTCATACTATTCCGTAAAAAAATCAATTTTTTTTACCTAAAAAATAAAACTTCCCCTTAAGTTAGAGCTGTAGGACGGATGAATTCTTGAAAACTAGAATTGAAATAGTCTTTATTGTAGAAACAGCTAGAAATATGCAATATCATGCATTTTAGAATATAATAGAACAGTACGTATGTGCGCGCGCGCGCGCGCGCGTGTGTGTGTGTCTCTTTTCTTGGCTTTAGTATACTGGTGGGGAGGCAGGTATTAAATTTTAACCCTAGAATGAGGATGACTGAGGCTAAAATTCATATTCCAACTTATTCAAGCTAAAACCTTCTGCGTTAAACGTTTACTACGTAAGTGGTAGTGTTTTCTTAGATCCACTCAAATAAAATTTTATAAAACACATCTGTAAATTCATCCGTAAATACATTAAGACTGATATTTTTACAAGATCTCGATATTTATAATCTGCATAAGTTTGTACTTACAAATCTTCAGAAATATTAGGTCGTGCGGATTTTAGTTTGTAATATAGTGCGGATTTTAGCTCTAAGGAAAATATAAACATTAGAAAAGGACAATAATGCATGAGGACATACTACTGGCAAATCTCGTCTTCAATTTGTCATAACCGTTTCATTATTAAATGAGGTAAGAACAGAATCGCCACTAGATCAGATTAGCGTTAAAGTTTGTTAACAAAAATTGTATATTTATGTATAATTTGTGATCTTTGATATTGTGTATTAATTCGTCACTGGTAGTAAATTAAGAAATGAATAAGCAAAACGAACAATCAATCGCAAATTGACAAAACCAAATTTTTTTTTCCCTTAATGTTTTTTACTACAAAATATTTAGTTAAATTCAGCTTTAGTATGTATAAACTTATTATATTGCATTTTTTGTTTATTATTTAAATAATTTAGAGACAAAAAAAGATATCGTTTAATAAACATCAGTATATATGCATGTATGCATATATACTGACCCTTATTATCATAAATGATAACAAATAAATATGTTATATATATCTATCTATAAATCGATAAATATGTCATTATAATTTATATTTATTTAATTAGATATACATATATTCTTTCCTTAATCGAAATATAATTGTAGTCCCTTCATATAACTTATATTTATTTCTATATAGAAAGGCTTCGAATTCTTTCTTTTAAAATTGCTCTGTGTGTTAAGGATACTCACATAAGTATATTATTATTAATAAAATTATCTATAGCAGATAGAAAATAATTAAATTTAATTTAGAAAAATTTCAGAATTTTCAGATCAAATTTTCTGGATGTGATATATGTTCATTGAAGATGAAGATTTTTTGGCTCACAATTAGTGAGATCTAGATCAAAGAAGTGCAAGTCAAAATAACATTTAGTTAACAATGGCAATAACGGTATAAATAATATAATAAACAAAATTCTGTAAAGTTTGCGGGTTATCGCCGTGTCAATTTCTTCATTCTTAATTCCGACTTACAGTATTAGAGCACTCCTTTGTCCTGATGAAGTGAATAGCATGGTTCACGAAACGTCGACATCGACATTAAGAATAAAGAAAGACACGGCGATAACCCGCAAACCTTCTGATATAATTGAAGATAATACCCGTGAAAGCCTCAAATGCGTAATCAAGATTCTGTAAAATAACGTTTTCAATAATAATTAATAAATTATGATTTTAGGATTGGTCTTCAATAATCGCACTTACTGCAGCGGGCGGCATAATTATAATGCTTCTTATACGACCGATGAAGTATTCTACAATTTACGAGATATTAAAAGAGAAAATAATCAATTGGAGAAATGATAATTTCAGAATACCTGAATTACCTAATCCTAACTGGGTAAAAGTCGGTACAGTCGAACAGCTACATGTACGCCCATTGGCCTCAGGATATAGAATAAATTGCCCTACATTAAAATTTACTCCATACGGAGCAACTTGTGAATATGAACCAGGATTTATTCTTCGGGACAAGTTAGTATAAAAGCCAAAATTCATTTTGCAACAAATTAATATAAGAATATATTGCATAAGGTCATCACTTATTATATGTCGTTTAGATATTTGAAGTCAGTGCAAGGTATTGAGTGAATATGTAATCTGTTTAATATTTAATTATAAATATATATATATATATATATTTATAATTTAAGCTATTATATTTATTAAATTTCACTGTTTATGTTTATCACAGATTTTGATAAACAACCGATTAGTATACAAAAGAAAAATATATTATTATATAATAACTTAAAACAGCAACAAAAATATATTTATATTAAAATAACCAAATAATTATATCAAATATATGGTAAAAAATATATACAATGCACAATCGCCGAAAATAATGTTAAACTTTTATTATGTATTTTTAGAATGTTTCACATATACGACGAAAAAACCAATAAATTCCAAAACACACACACTGAAACTAAGATACAAATAGTGCAAGCGCTAATCGGATATCAGTCCAAAGTAATGTTCAGAGCAGATTTTTCTGAAATAATAATTGATCTAGATGAAGAAACAAAGATTCGCAAAGTTGTGAGAGAGCTAATAACAAGTTGGATTATAATAAGGTATATTGATTGCGGCGAAAAAATTGCCAAATGGTTAAATGAGTATGTATATCTAATAATTTTTTAAATTATCGTCTATATAAATTTCCTATAAAAAATATTAACCAATATAACATATCACATAGCATATTGCGAACCTCTTCTCTGCGGGTAGCACTAATAGAATATGATATTATCGACGAACCAGTAATAGAAGAAGATATGTTGAGAGAAAATAAGATTGATGAAGCTTGGGTAATTAATATACTTTTAAATTTTTCGTCCTTCTCAACGTCTTATATAAAATTCGATTATTTGAAAAATGCATATTTATTGCTATTGTTATATGAGGCATATAAGTATGCAATACTTGCTATATACAATGTGAAATACAATATAATTATATAGTAAAAGTGTATGTAATATAAATAGTAATATTGATTTTTTTTCGATATTTGTATAATCAATATTACATTCTATACACCATATATTTTCAAAATTTTATCCTATTATAGGAGATATTCTTAAGTTTAACTGGGTATACAGCAATAACGTTAAATACAATGGGAGAGTTTGTATGCAATACTACACATTATTTAAAAATTCAACCACATATTATCGTTTCGGCTCCAAAATCTCCTCTTTTTGCGGAGGAAAATTGGGAATGGATCAGGATCGGTAATATAGTCATGAAGAAGATTATGATTGTCTCAAAGTACGCATGTATATCATTAATTATTTTCATATTATTTATATTAAGATTTTTTTATTGTATTTTATTCATTGATAGGATCTTTCATGTTTGTATAGATACAAAATGTTGAAAAAAATTTGATTTTTTACAACAGTTTATGATAAAAATCATCAATATTTGTTTTAATTTAAAAACTTCTTAATTTCTAAGTTAGCCATTTTTGTTTTTAGTCTTTTTGCTTCTAAATGCATTCTCATTAGCTTAAATATTATTACAACTGCAATAATATTAAAATACAAAATAATATATATTTATTAAACTTTATTTTCTTTACATTTGCATTACTGTTCTTTTGTTGGATTCTTTAAATGTGTATTTTATTTTTTCAATAGCTTAACATCAGTCCAGGAATCATACAAGAAAAATGTGTGTCATCATCCACCATCATTTTTAGGAAATTTTTATAGATTGTTTACTGTTGGAACCGCAAATCTAAATGATAATGTATATGTTCATGTCGAGCGAACACCAAATTGTCCAAATTTTAATTTGTTAATTTAATCTTTCCATAATTATCTTAAAAATTTAGTTACATGACATAATAATATTCAGTGCATAACATATAATAATACTACTGTTAAAGTTAACACAACGAAATTTTGAGTAATATTAAGAAAAAGATCGGTTTCTGTTCTCAAGTACAGAATATTTTTGATGTTATCTTGGTCATATTACTACTAATAATTGATTGGTCTGTATAAACTAAATAATTAAAAGTTATGCAAGCTTAATAACAATACAGCAAAAAGATATTTCTAACATTTTAGTTTATTTAATATTTTTTTTTATTTTATATATATTTTCATCTATAATGAATTTTTTTCAATTATAATATTAGTAATAAATTAGATATATGTTATATGCTAAGGTAGTTAAAATATATATGAACGAGACTACTTTTTATGTATAAATACAAATCAACATTAATACATTAAATTAAGTAATAGAATGTCTGTTCACGTTTTACATAATAAGCTACATTTCGTTATTTACTCTGTAAGTATTGAAAATCTATATATAATATACGTGACATGAATTATAGATTTTTAATGCAATTCTTGCAGTGAATAATGAAACACAGTCATACTTGTAGCCTCGCAATAATTGTTATTGCATGGAAAAAATAGTTAAATAATTTTTACCTTACACAATACTAGTATTTTGCCTTACAATACTAGTATTTTTGCCGAATTTATGATATCTACTGGTGAGAAAGTAAAAAATACTAGAATAAAAAGTATGTTACGATTATAACAAATCTATTAAAATGATTATTACTTTAGAGTAATATAAACCCATTATTCTTAAATCTGTATAAACACCAACAACTTTCAAATTTTACTTTATACTTGTATTTTTTACTTCCGCATAATAAAAATTTCGTTCGTAGAAATAGTTGTCGATAAAGTAAATTTTTTTATTAAAATGTATGGTAATTCATAAATTTACTTTATGAAATTTTTATTACAAATACACAGTAAAAAGTATTTAACTGTGTATTAGAAGATTAGAATTCTGTAGCGCATATTATTTTACAATTTTCTCTGTGTGTAATTGTCGTTGCAACGTTTTATGACATATAATATCGAATGCCTTACGCAATGCAACGTTATTTGAGTTCACGCGTTGACAACATTTTATATTATTTTATAATTTGATTTCATCTAAACCTCCTACATATCTTTTTTTATAAGTATATAAGTAATTTTTTATAAGTAAAAGAAAAAAATATCAATAACTAGAGATTGCTCTACTAGGAAATATTTTTATAGTACAGTATTATAATAATAATGCCAATCTTTACAATTTTGATTTTATATAAGATATATTTTATAGACTTTTTCTTTGTAATGTTTTTAATAAAAAAATAATGGTATAAACATATTAACGAGTTACAAGTATTATTTATTGAAATCAACACCTGTACATACACTAAATTATAATATACCGATTAATTAACTTATTAATTAAAGAAATTTAAAAAATTTCGCAAAGATGCAATTAAATTTCTTTCCTATTTTTTATTAAAAATTTAATACTTATTTAACAATAATCTAAAATCTGTTTATATTGAATATTAATATAAAATTAAATTTTATTAATCCTAATGGAGGCTTTTAATTCAATAATAATTTTAAAAAATATGTGAAATAAAGTAAAGAAAGTTAATTGTGTGTATGTACGCGCACGCGCGCATCCCATAAGTATATTTAAAAATTATAATAAATATGGATATTTAAACCAATTAATTATATGTGTGTGTGTGTGTGTGTGTGTGTGTGTGTGTGTGTGTATATGTGTGTAATTATCAAACAGTTACAATTTATTTAAATATATATACCTATAAATTAACTTTCAATCATAGAGATGTCAAACACGCGCTACTTTGTAATAACCTTTTCATAAATAGTAAGTTCCAGAAAAACAAAATATAACCGACAAAACAGAAAATAATAACAATCAATACGAAAATTGATACTTTACTCACTGTTGAAAGTCGACTGATCAAGAAGAGATCATCATCGTATAATAAGATCTTTACGAAGAAAAAGTGAAAAATATTACATGTATAATCACATAATTTGTTAATGTTATAATTTGTGAGATTACATACAATAATTGCACATTATATATCATAGAATTGAAAGTGAAAGAACAAAACGACTAATATTATTGAATGTGTTTTGATCAAATTTATCATTTCTTCTCAAGAAATCTTAATAACTGTTAACAATAATGTGGGAGGTATGTATAAGATCTCATTAAGATTATATTTCGATTTTATCTGTTTAAATTGTTTATGCATATTTTTTAAAAATACAATATATTTTTAAGTAATAATTGTATATGCCATATGCATATGAATGAAATTATTTTTTCGTGCAGGTTGCTATTGATAAAGATTACATTAAAAATTATCCTAGTGTTGATAATCCATATTGGTATAAAATTGGTATTATTCAATGTTTATTCATATATCCAATACAAGGGGGAGAGAAAGTGCAGTTGTCATCTGTTAGATGTAATCACAATGGAATGATATCGAATGAACACTTAGGAAATTATCCAGTATGGGACGGGTTAGTGTAAAACACAAATTGTTTCTTTGACAATGATTCTATATGATGAAAATATTACTGAAGATGTAGCTCACTCATCATTCAACATAATATCAATTTAAAGCATTTATTATTAAAAATTTGACGTTTAATTATAAATATTATTGTGATTGTAATTAAAATCTAACAAAAAAAGTAGTTATTTTTAAAGATTTCGAATCATTATTAAACTTAGCGTGGTACCTTTTTTTTTTTTATAAAATTTGATTAAAATAGAATAATATATTAATTGTATTTATATTTAGAAAACGTTAACAGTTTTTATACAGGGTGTTAAAACAAAACCATTTAGCATTTATATGGTAGATAATACACAATACTGATTGTGAGTAAAAAATCTTAGTGCAGAACGTAGGTCGAAAGCTCAACCGTTTCTGAAATATAAATATTTCTATATGTTAGCTGAAAGTCATAAATGACATTTATCATAAGTGACATTTCCATTAGCACAACTATACAAAAAATGCATATCTGCTATTTGTTGATTAGAGTAATACACTAACATTTTTAACACAATACCATATAACTATGTAATCATTAAATAATATAGATCTATTCTCAATCAGCGTTGATGACAACTGACTGATTGCCCGCGAAATCTTCTGTTATAAAGTATATATGGTAATTAAATGATGATGTACATAATTCAGTTTTATAAACATTCAGGTAAACATCGCATGCGACACATAAAAGCCAATAGTTGGTACTTTTTACCTATGTTAACTAAGATTCTTTCTCTCTCTCTCTCTCTCTCTCTCTCTCTTCTCTTTTTACTCAGTATGATGTATACTATCTACCATACATGTTGAATATTTTTTTCTTAAACACCCAATATAATACTTATAAAATCGATGATAGGTAATTGCATATATGACTAATGTACAAAAAACTATAGTAGCTCAAAATATTAATATACAACATTTAACTATCAAAAAATAATCATACTCAAAAAATTTTATAAGGGTGTTCTGGTAAATTAAATTTATATTATACAATTTGTCAAAAGTAATGTTTACACTTTTATGATGCATTATTAGGATGTTTTTATTTTATAATGAGCAAACTAAACGAATTCTACATTGGTCAAATACCACTTTGTTGGCTACAACGAATCTGCATTTAACAGAATTGGTAAAATATCATCATGTGCTATTTGGAAATTCGAATGATTCAATGTGTGTGATCGCGAACGGACATCGTTCAAGTATGAATTATTATAACTCGTCATGGCTCACTCATAATAATCCACTAGAACTTTACAATCTTGGCGATATAAATGCCAATTATATGGCCAAGTATATATACAATAACTTTTATAACATACCTTTATATTATGATACATACATATAAAGAATGCATTAAATATTAATAAATTAATATACATAGATATTTCAAACTTGAGAAAGACACACGTATAAGTATGTTAGAAAGAAACTGTGATCCTTTAATCGAGGAACCAAATCTTATAACAGAAAATTGGATTCATTATTGTGGAATATACTCAACCAAATCAGATGAAATACCGGTAATTAATATGTTTCAAATTCTAGTCTTTATTTATATTACTTGTTAACAGAACGAGATTACTAAACGTTTTAATCTTAATTATCATGCCCAAAAGTAAGTTCGTTATATGAAGCACCAAAAGCAAATAAAAGACATATACACATTTTTTAAAAACAAAATAATTAATACATTGTCGATATTTTATATAAATTATTTTGATTACAAACGCCATTTATCAAATTTTTTTCTTAGCAACTTTAATTTAAGTAAATTATATTAAATCATATTAAGCAATAATATACGCTTAGTCTTACAATCTAGTTTAAAAAAATATAAATATATTATAATTTACGAAAATTAATGATATTAATAACAATTATTGGTAAAACAATTTTTAATTTTATACAGTGCTAGAAGTTTACCAGAAAAGAGAGTTTAGAAAGTTACGCACCATGCGTAATAAGTTAAATTTATTATTCAGAATAATATTATGGATATCAAAGTATTTCTTCTTATTAGGAAAGGCTCATGGATCTACCACGATTCGTATTAACGACAACAGCTACATTACATAAACTGTATGGAGCGTCATGGGATATAACATATAAACATTTTTTGTATCGTCCAAATATTGTTGTTTCGACAGCAACTATGCCTTATAGTGAAGAAGATTGGGAATGGATAAAGATAAGAGATACAATCATCAGAGTGATAAAACCAGTTCCGAAGTAATTACATATATACACGCATACATTATTATATACATTGCCCATTTTTTTCTTATTATCAAATCATTTGATAAAGATGTAAATTAATTTAAATAAATTTTTAATTTTTATGTTAAGATAAATTTGATCAATCGCATAACATTTTTATTAACTAAAAGTTTTCTAATCTCTAATAAATCATTTTAATATTTTTTTAATATTTTATGAAACTATCCTAAATCATATTAAAATATATTATGGAGATAAAAGATATAATTTTTTTAAATTTTAAATTCTTCCCATTAGTACTACTACTTCTTTGTTAAATTTTGTAATTATATAACTTCCATTCATTTAATTTCAGATATAGACTTTCAATGCCTTATTGCAATTACTTTCCACAATATCATACATCTATTCTGGAGGATGTTGCAGCAAATGCAGGAGTTTATTGCGCACCAATCGTATCTGGAGACATTAAAGAAAACGATCATGTATATGTTTATTATAATCCTAAAAATAATCTTAATGGACCTTACAATTATGTTTGGTAAATTTTTGGAAAAATTTTTGTTTAATATTAATTCAATGTTAGATTAATTTTTTCTATTATACTTTGTACTTGCTTATACAAATCAAATTAGAACTAAATAATAAGAAGACAAGGGCGATATAAGAGTCAAAACTTTAAAATATAAAATATATAATTAATAAATTCTTTCGATAATTAACTTGAAAAACGTTACTTAATACTAAATATGCTTAAAAAATAAGAAAAATATATATAAATAAGTCTCTCGTTACAAGTTTCGGCTCTCGGATTGAGCCCTCCTCAGATATATTAAAACAGCAGTCAAAACAGTCGTTGAAGTTCGTTCATACAAATTCTATTGCCTTGCGAGTCTCTATATAGAAAAATGACATTGATTACAAACGATTGAAAAATCGTATGTATAATAATATCTTTGAAAAGATGGTAAACAACTTTAAAGTTTATTTGCGGATGGTAAAAAGCTTAAAAGTTTATTTCAAATTGAAAATTTATTTAATCCACTAATAATTCGATTTGTGTAAACAAGAATAAAAGTATCATATATACGATTAAATGTATAATCTTATTTTAATAATTATTATTATCAATCTTAATTTAATTTTAACAAACAGTTATTTATCAATTTAAATGTTTTAAAATATGTAAAATAAAATTGCAAAAAAAGACATTATACAATCAGTATAATTTTATTTTAAACGGATCTGTGCATTGAGACCTAAAAAT